CAATAGTATCAGGAAATGTTACTGCCAGTTAGCATCTTTATGCCTACAGCACAAAGTCTGGCAGCATTAAAGAAGCTAAACCAGTCCCAATTCTCACAATAGCACTTTGAAAATGCACGTTATTTTTGCTACCATATTTATGCAAGTAGTGCCACATTTCCACCACCACGATTTTGCTCTCCTGACTGGGAATCGGGATCTTACTTGTACCAGTATCTTACCTGCCTCATTTTTTATTATCAGTTAAGACATTTTGTGCAATTCCCTACCCACTTAGTAAAATAAGCACTCTGCAGACTGCAAGGTGCCTGCAGGACCAGGACAGAGAAGCCCAGTAGCTTAGCAGGCATGGTAACGTCTTCATGAGACTTTAATTAGATTAGCTTGCCATACCTCCATGCCAGTGAGGCTACCTGGTTTTAGCATACAGCTAGTTTAGGGTACAAAAGTCTATGTTGGTCAAGTAGTCACCCCTAGGGAAGTAGCACCCTTAATACTGTTTTTTTTTTTTCCCCAGATCAGAGCATGCTGCCTTTGAAAGCATCATGGAGGAAAGCCATCTATTGCTAAGAAAAGCTGAGGTGCTGTCTTCATTTGCACAGATGATGATAACGACTCCTTTTCTTAACATCTTTGTCCCACTTTTCAGATAAAGATTGTTGTTAGTTGCAAACTTAAATACTCAGCTAGGGCTAGATAATATTTTCCAATTTTGATTACTTACTGAAAAATCTGGTTTTGATCAACAAAAAACTATTCACAATGTTGAACTGAAGCTTCCCTACTTTCCATAAAATAGTAATACACACAATGACCAAAAATGGTTCCAGTGTCAAACTCAATTAAAATGCAATTACCCCATACAAACCAGAGCAGCATCAGTGGGACAGAGTCAGGAAACTGCTTTCAAAACACTATTACAGTGGCTAAAACATAACTTAATATTTGGTAGTACAGGTTCAAATTCCTTCAGGTAGAAGATGTTATTAAAAACCTCTCCAACATGTTAGGAGATTAAAGCACTGGAGCTATACCCTTCTCTTTCACATATAATGCATTAACTATGGTTCATCAGGTAAGAGACAGACAACAGAATGAAAACAAGCATGTTACCATTTCAGTATTTAATTTACAATTATTTAAAGTTAATGGATTTACATGTTTATATTAATATAAATTTATCTTTACTCATTCCAACCTAAAAAGAGAAAAATCCATCCCCCACATATGCCAATACATTTTATTAGTAAGAGCCAGGATAGCTAGCAGTTTTAGCAAAAGCCTGATTGATCCATTCAAATTTATTAGTGTAGCCTTTGGGATTATTTTTAGAAATTACAATTATTTAAGTAAATAAATGAATACAGGCATTCTATCGTGAAAGCATATGTAACTGAACTTAAAAGTTCAGCCATGATTTATAAAGGTAGGTATTACTAGCCTGCAGGTACTATACTGAGGCACTTTGTTGATTTAAGTTATAGGTGTATATATATACCTAAAAGTGTAAACTTCTCAGAAGTAAACTCAGAAGTTATTTTTACAACTCTTATGCCCTTTTTAAAAGACAGCATACACAAGTCCTAAAGAAGCTCTGCAGCATATTTATACAATTACTAAGCCCCCACAATGAATAGAATAAGCCCTTAATATTTACTACTTCTTGCTGAAAAAAGCTTAATTTTTAATGGGTATTATTCATGTTCTCTGAAAAAATCGCTCCTTTTGCAGTTAAAGGCCTGCAAGTTAGCACTAACTTAAGCCTTTGTCTGGAACACAGAATTGTTCCTAACTATGCTGGGAACATCCTACCAGAACAGCGAAGTCAGTAAAGAATATACACTAATAAAACATATTAAAGCACAACAAGTGAAAGGAAATAAACAACCGCGCTTTGCAGTGCCAGAATAACACTAACAAAACATCAAGTTATTCAGCCATAACAGTAAAAATACAGTGTTGCCAACGCAGCTTGTACATATACATTGGGGGGCTTCAGCCAACACAACCATACCACCTACAGATTACACTTTAAATAATTAAATAATTTAAAAAACACGGAAACTGATCTCCTATTAAAGTACAGTTGCCTACCTGTAATTGCAAAGGACAAAGAGGAATAGGTTTATCAGGATTGCAAGACTGCAGTGCAAGCTTTGTTGAATTTGGAATACAAGCAAACAAATGGGCACATATGCAGGCTTTGAAACTACCTATTAAAACTGTCAGTTCTCATCCTAATTAAGCATAATAAATCAAAACAGCTACAAAGCAGATTCTCACATTGCTGAATCTTCAAGAACCTGTTTTTCAGCAGAAATACTATTACAGTAGTTGAGGTTCTGGCTTGAAATTCTTTTAAAAAAATTATATACGGTTAACAAAATATTTTCCATATTATTTTGTTCTCCATAATCTTATGAATTCTTTTCAATTATAAAAGTATAAAACGTTCAATAGGATCCATCTGTTCTATTGGAATAATTTGCATTGGCAACTATGAAGTGAAAATAACAGCAGAAGCAAGTAATTTGCAGATCTTACTTTTCCAAATTCTTATTCTGTAGTTTAATAGTCTGATATATTTAAGACAAGCCATCTATTAATTTTCCTCCTCTTAAGATTACCTACCAATTATATTACTTTAAAACTAGCCTATGTATATATATATATATATATATAAGGTGTAAGAACAAGAAAGCTACAGAAATAAAGTAAAATAAACACAATACTTATAATGACCATACCTAGTAATAAGAACCGCGTTATCATGGTGGGCAATCCCATTTTCTGGAATGGTGTTTCCATCACTTTGGTGGGAGAGAATGGATTTCTGCCACTTACAGAAGCTATCGAGGGACTTGTCTGCATGGTGGTTTATCTCCAAGTTTGGCTGCAATACAACATGCATACCAGAAATGTTCCAAACAAATTACTAAGGTCAGTTGTTAAGCCTTTTGAAGACTAAAATGGGACTATAATTAGAAGCAGTGGTTTCTAGGAATAAACTCTTCTTGCCAAATTTTATCTCTGTAAAATCTGACCCCAAGTTCAGCTG